TCAGGAGGCGCAGTGGTGCCGTTTGGCTCAAGGCCCGATTTGAGGACGTTGTCGAGCACCTTGACCATGATCCCTTCGCATTTGATGTCGGTGGCGCTTTTGAAGAATTCGAGGACGGCCTCGGAGTCGGCGGATACCGCGTCTAGACTCTTGACCCAGGTGAACCGTTTGGGCACTTCAACAAATAGACTCCGCAAGAGCTCTCTACGCTCGCGAAATGAGCGGTCTAATAGTGGCTGTCCGTTCAGGTACATCAGGTCGAAAGCGAACAAGCACACGTTCACTTTGATGGCTCCTATATCGACGTTCTTTTTCGCGCGGTTGGTGAGGATCTGAAAGGCTTGCAGATCGCCCGTGTCCTGATCGACTGCAACCACCTCGCCCTCCAAGATGAAGCTGGACACTCCTTCGCCCCGGATCTGGGGCACGAGAGACACGAGATCCGGGTATTTCTCGGTCATATTCTCCAGATGGCGAGAGAAAACGGACACCTTACCCGCCTCATCGCAATGAACCTGGGCGCGCTGCCCGTCGTATTTGTACTCGCAGGCGAAGTCTCGCCCTTGTAGTTTAGTTAACATGTCTGATAGATCGCGCGTGATGCTGCCCAGCATCGGCCTGAGGGGGATGTGTAATTGTAGTCCGCAGCGCACGAGGAGTTCCTCTGTCACACCACTTTCGAGTAAACATGGTACGAGATCATCATAGCTCGGATGTCGAGCATAGGAGGCCTTGACGATTTCCTCTGCATTGCTGTAGACCTCCGCGAGTTCTTCTTTCTTCAACCGTGCCATATCCCGTTGAGATTGGACAGAGAAATCAGCACCCTCTGGTTTGGAGTATAAGAAGGCTCGGGCCAGCGCAATAAGCATTGTCGTCTTGACGGCCCCGATGCGCAGATTCTGGACAAGTGTTCTGACAATGTATCGGCTCTCTTCTGCACCACGAGCGTCCTGCAGCAGCTTTTCGACTATCCTCTGCTTGGCCTCCTGGCTTCCACTTCCTTTACTTAGAGCAATTTTTTTGAGAGCTTGGTACACACCCTTGATCCTCAGTGGCTTGGGCTTCATCAGGGTGAAGCTCTGCCTCTTCTTGGCCTCGAAGGCCACATCGCCCGCGTCGCCGTGCTTGTCGTAAAGGGACTTGAGACCCTGGCTGTTAAGGCCATAAACCTTCTTTAAAGCCTTAGAGATCGAGGAACCGCCTAGGCCTAGCTCTATCTCATCGTATGGTGGCGAAATGGAATTCGTCGCAAGCCAGACTGCGGGAAGAACGCTCGAAGGGTCGCCCTCAATCAAGACACGAAGGAAGTTGACTAGAGTATCCACAATCTTGATACGACTGGTTGTTGCGTTCGCAAGGACGAACGCTCTGGTGAGAAGCGCGTATGTAGCGTCGCCTCCCTGCGCGGCCCAGTGGCCCTTCAGCTCCTGCACATATTTGCCCGCGTCGAATGTGATGGGGCTCTGGTCGAACGGGACAGCCAGAGAAACCGTATCCTCCGTTCCCGACGATGATTGAAGAGAGAGTATGCCTTTACTTTCTCCAGTGGCTGGCTTCAGGTCGGTAACCTCCGAGTCTAGAGGCGGAGGCGCCGGCGCCGGTGTAGGCTCGCTAGTGGGAGTATCGACCTGCGATGTTGGAGCGACTATCTCTTGGTCCCACTCAGCCTGAAGCTTGCGCGCAAGAGCCTCGTCAGATAGAGTCTGTTCATCTGAGGTTTCAACCTCAGCTGGAGTCTGCAATGCTCGCTGGGTCTTCTCCGCCTGCTTGCTGGCTTGACCTTGGAAGAATGACGCTATGCTCCGGTTGCGCTGAGCGGAGGATTCGAGGTCATCCCTCTTACGCTTTTTCGCCGGACTGGCCATCACGTTAAGCTGAGGGCAAAGGTCTTGTCAAGCACAAGCCATTGAGTTTGAGGTGCTGCAACGTGCTTCATACCTACTAGGTAGTGTCTTGGAGCTACGGGAGGGAAACGATGACGTTGGTTGGACGGAACGGGCAGCGGGAAGTCCAGAGCTTCCCGCCGCTTTCTCCGTTGGAGACACCGTAGCGGCCGTCCACTTGCGACTCCACGCTGTGCTTTTTCCCCCCGCCAACTTCTCCAACAACAATATCTCACCCCGCGAACAATGGCCACTTCTGCGTCTGCCCTGTCGTCGCATGAGAGGACAAGGGTGGAAGATTATTTGAACGATAAACTCCAGGTCTCTGCTGATCTAGAGAGCCTCGACTCCTTGTTGTCGAGTTTACGAGCCCAGCATGAGCTGCAACGCAAGCAGGTACATTTGCTTAGCCCTTTGCTTCAACGGCCGCACTTTACTTCGCCTTGCCTTTCACTTTGCTAACAAAGGATCCAAATAGCTAGCCGAAGCACAAGAAGCTCTTTCCAATGCCACCAAGGCCTCCAACGATCACGCCGAAGCTACTCGCCAGCGAGCCGAAGCATTCAACGTGCAGCAAGAGGATATTGACAGACGCCTGAAAACAATCACTGGGTCCGACTCTAGCGATGACGCGGCTAAACGGTTCGAGGCTAGCATCGAAAAGCTGCGTAGGCTTGAAATCTCTAGGGGCTACATGACTGTGTTGAAGGAAGCGGAGGAGTTAAGGTGGGGAAATAGCTTTAAATTGCCTTCTGTGCTTCGACTGCTAAATTTGGATACAGCCAGCAAGCCTTGAAGGACACCGGAAGTGACCCCAGGTCGGCGATTCAATCATACACTAGGCTTCGCGACATTTCTCGATCATTGCATGAGGCCCAGCCGGCAGCAGAAGGGGCCGCCCCTCACTTGGTCGATTATGTGGGAAAGTTGGTTTCGGCGCTCAGAGAGCAAATGAAGAGCCATTTCTCGCAGCGGCTGCAAGGAACGATGGACCGCATGAAGTGGCCTTCGAAAGACTTACAGTTCCCGGATGATGTACAACTGGAGTGGAGGGAGAACGTCGGATTGCTTCTCGACTTGCAGATACCGTACGCCATTCTTAGATTATTGTTGCAGAAAGCACTTGATGCTCTAACACATATGGTACAGGGAGCTTACTGGCCGCGCTTCTGTGCCTGAGCATCACTGCGCTGAGCCCCCGGTGCTGTTGCCGCTTGAGGTAATGGTGCATCCGCTAGAACTTCGGTTTAAATACCACTTCAGTGGAGATAAGCCGACGAACAGGCTGGACAAGGTACGCATTATCCCGTACGATCCCGTTTTGAATGCCAAGAGTCTAAAGAGTCGCAGCCGGAATACTTTTTAGCTCATATCACGGATTTGATGAACAACTTCGGAAGTTTCTTCGCCTCATTCTTACAGCCTATCTTCGATGAAAAGGCCAAACGGGTCGGAAACGACCTTGAGTGGAACTTCTATGATGCCTCTCATGCTTTCATTACAGCACTCTTGCCTGTGTTGCGGAACAAGATAGCTACCTTCATGCCTCAAATATCCACACACCCACAACTCCTGAGCCATTTCGTGCATGAATTGATGACGTTTGACAGCGAGGTCCGCGAATCCTGGAACTACCTGCCGGATCCCTACGTCGCTGGGGACTGGAAAGGTGTGACGTGGGAGGTCCTGACCAAGCAGGGCTGGTTTGATCGCTGGCTGCAAGTTGAGAAGGACTTCGCGTTAGCTCGCTACAGAGAGATCGTGGACGCACCAGACAGTGGACATATCGACTACGATGGTGTCGAGATATCGTCAACGAAACCGACCAAGGCCGCGATCCGTGTCAATGACCTCCTTGAAACAATCACTGAGCGCTACCAGCATCTATCGTCGTTTAGTCAGAAGCTTCGCTTCCTCATCGACATCCAGATCACCATCTTCGACCAATTCCACGAACGCCTACAGTCCGCTTTGGAGGCATACCTCGCAATGACCTCAGCTATCGGTCGGACCGTGCAGGGCTCGGATGGACAAGCTAGTGTCGAAGGTGTGGCTGGACTTGAACGGCTTTGTAGAGTCTTTGGGAGCGCGGAGTGGCTTGAGAAGAAGATGGAAGATTGGAGTAACGAAGTATTCTTCGTGGAGCTCTGGACTGAGCTCCAAGAGCGCGTCAGGCTGAATAAGGACGGGGGCAAGAACGTGGCGGGCTCAATGTCTATCGCAGACGTTGCTTCGCGCACTTCCCAGGCCGTGAACAACAGCAACACGCACAACAACGATCAAGGCACAGCCTCCGAAGGCGCCTTATTTGACGAGACTGCTTCCGCATACCGTCGTCTACGACTCCGCTCCGAGTCGATCATCACTTCCACACTGACATCAAATGTGCGCTCCGCTCTGAAGCCGTATTCCCGCGTTTCTACCTGGACAACCCTGGCAGCCACAACGCCGGCTCCTAACGGTGCCCCTCTGCCGCCCACGTCCGACCTAGCCCCTGTCCTGCGTACCATCTCCGCTGAGCTATCCTTCCTCTCCCGCGCCCTGGGATTTGCCCCCCTGCGCCGTATTACCCGGCAGGTTCTTCTCGCGATTCAGACGTTTATGTGGAGCAGCATCCTAATGAGAAACACTTTCTCAGCGTCCGGGGCCCTGCAATTCATCAGCGACATGGACCATCTCGGCAGTGTGGTTGATGTCGCGTTAGGCGCAGCGAGCCAGTCTGGCGGCTCTAAGAAAGTGCTGAAGAAGTTAAGTGAGGCACTTCTACTGCTAGGGCTGAGTACGACGGAGCCAACGTCTCTGGATGGCGCCACAGATCCGACCGAGGATGAACCCACGGAAGCGGGCGCTCACGCTCCAGCCGGGCTCTGGGAGGTCGAAAAACGGCTTTTCAAGGACAATGAGAGCGCGAGGGAAGTTCTGGGCGAGCTTGGGATTGATTCGTTGACGGAAGCGGAGGCTCGAAGTGTCTTGGAGCGGCGAGCTGAGATTGGTAACTAGTAGTGCTTGAGCATAATAGGGCGCCCTATCCCCGTTGTGCATATTGTGGGCCGGTGAAGTACTTTGAACTCATAAGATATCCATTGAACGTATTGTGAACCTATTGACAAGCGTCTTGTTGCGACATTATAATCTCTATCTTTCTATTCTATTAGTTTTTGTTTTGTTATCCTTCCTTAAAGGCCCACACCCATATACAGCCACTGGAGAGAGACACCAACTAGACTGTAGAATGATGCACTCAAACTACAGCCCAACTGACCCTACCCCCCGAGGTGGATTGGAACTTTTTGCCATGTACGACAAACCCGTAACCCCGTTCTACGGGAGATCCGCTACGGCAACTCGGCCCGGGCTCTATCTAGCGACCCTGCTGGGCCTTCAACTTCTCGACAACGGCCGGGCCGACCTCCTCGATGGCCCGGAGCAGCGCCTCGACCGTCTCCTTGGCGGTCTGCACGTTGACCACGCAGCGGAAGAACTTGCCGTCGCCGACGGCCTCCTCGTCGCCACTGGGCGGGGCGAAGTCGACCATGAACCCCTTGCGCACGATCGCATGCGTCACCTGCTCCGTGACCTTGCTGTTGGCCTTGGCCCTCTCTGCCTCGGCTTCGGCCGTTGTCGTCGTCGTCGTCGACACCGACCCGCGCGGGTAGACCATCTGCCGGCCGGGCGCGTAGTAGAAACAGACCTGCAGGCACGGGGTGGGGTTCTCACTGACGAGGATGAAGTTGTCGTTGTGCTGGACGAGGGTGGCGAGGTGGGCGGCGACGGCGCAGGCGGAGTCGATCTGGCGCTCGTAGCCGGCGGTGCCGTAGTAGGTCCAGCCCAGGAAGAGCTTGAGCGAGTCGGCGCGGCGGCCGCACTGGAGGGTCAGGTCGGCCAGGTCCCAGACCTCGGGGGAGTCAACCTCCACTTCTTCTTCTTCTTCCGAGGCAGAGCTTTCCGACGACTCGGCCGCCGTGTCCGGGTTGTGGAAGAGGTAGCCGGCGGGGAGGGTGTTGGCGCGGTGGAAGCGGCGCAGGTCGGCGGCCAGGAGGAAGGAGCAGGTGACGGGGACGCCCAGCATCTTGTGCGGGTTGATGGCGATGCTGTCGGCGAGCTCGGCGCCGGCCAGCTTGTGGCGCTGCGCGGCGGAGAAGATGAAGGAGCCGCCCCACGAGCCGTCGACGTGCAGCCAGAGCCGGTACCGCCGGCACAGGGCGGCGATCTCGGCGAACGGGTCGAACGACCCCAGCACCGTCGTGCCGGCCGTCGCGTTGACGTAGAACGGGGTGCGGCCCTCGGCCAGCGCCTGCTGGATCAGCCGCTCCAGCTCCGCGGGGACCATGCGGCCCTGCCGGTCGACGGGCACCGCCCACACGGCGCCACTGCCCAGCCCCAGCATCTGCGCCGCCTTCTCGATGCTGTAGTGCCCGTGCGCACTGGTGAACAGCACGAACCGGTACGCCCCGTTGCCGTCGCGCTTCGTGTCCGGGTACAGGTTGTTGCGCGCGATCACGATCGAGGTCGTGTTCGACGCCGACCCCCCCTGCACCGAGATGCCGCCGGCGCGGGGCCCCGTCAGCCCGAACAGCGACGCCAGTCGCTGGCCCGTGTACTTCTCAATAACGGTCAGGGCCGGCGACACCTGGTAGACGTGTACGTTGGTGTTGAGCGCGGCCAGGATGAGCTCCGACGCCACGCCGGGCGCGTTGGTCGAGGCGTACAGCTTGTCCAGGAAGCCCTGGTGCCAGGTGTTGACCGAGTAGCGGAGCACCTGGCGCAGGACGTCCACCAGACCGTCTTGGCCAGCGCCTTCCTGCGGCAGGCTCAGCTGGAGTAATCGCTGCAGCTCCTCGGGTCTTTTGTGCTCGACGAGCGATGAGCCATTTTCGTCGTCGTCGTTCGGGGCGAGAGATTCCTTGGAGGCGAGAGGGTCCAGATCCGCACTGCGGATGAAGGGGATCAGGAGGTCTTCGACTGCGCTCAAGAGCTGGAGTAGATGCGATCAATGGTTAGTCTTGATTCGACGAATAGTAAGCTAGGCATGTCGATGATCCCCTCCCCGCTGGAATGCGACAATGGGATGAGAAGTGAACGAAGGGACTCATGACTCACACTCTTGACCTCCTCCGCGCGATCTGCTGGCGATGAAGCAGCCATCGATATGTGAACGTACCAAGCCTGAGACTAGTATATATTGTTATATCGGCGTCAGATGAAGCTAAGGGTTGTCCGCAATTTAAAAAACTTGAAGGTCAATTGGGAAATTCGTGGAGCCAAGCAACAGCGCTCGAATGGGAATAACCGTTTGCGGATCCACAGACAGTCCCGGAATGGCGACAAATCCCGGGTTTTTGACATCATGGATGGATCCAAGTCCCCCAGACAGAGAGACCCTGGGGTTCTTTTTCTGCGGAGTTTTGACAGGCAGGGTAAATTGAATCGGGTGAGTCTCCTGCATGGTGCGGGATTGGGACTGTCGTTGTTACTGCTAGACTAGTACTTATCTCTGTTACTTATCTGCTGCAGATGTTGGTTTATTGGTGTAACCTCGGCTCAACTGCTCCTGTCTGCACATTGACGTTGACCAGAAAATACCTCAATATTTCAATAGCTTCACACCGGCTTGCTTTTCCCAACCGAATCCCACAGAACTAACTACCTAATATTGTACAATTTAGATGACTGCCTCTGCCTTTTGCCACCCGTGGTTATTTTCATATCCTGCAACGAAACAATAAATTATACCCCAGAATAGATCGCCGAGATGTGTCGTCCGCACTCCACCCGTTGTTCCATGTTCACCGTGCGACGGCCGACCTTGCTCTTGTGACGAGGCATTATCTGAAGCCGTGCATCCTGCTTCTCAGCTTCTTTCTTGCCCTCAGCAGGTGCATTGATATAGATCGGCTTGGACGAGTTGCTACGCCTGCCGGTGCCGAGTTGGAAGTGCTCGTTGCCTCCCCACCAAAGAACATCGTAGCCCCAGGCATTCGTTTCATCCAAGGAATCCGTAGGAGCTGCGTCCATCTGCGTGTTGTTGTCCATCACCGCCGAGACATGTGTCGTACCTACGGAGATATCCCGCAGGCGGATGGGGGCGAGTCCCTTCAGGCGCTCATCGTATTCGAACAGCCCACTCAGGGGCTTCACCTTCGTAAGGGAGTCCTGGATATGAGTCCATTTACCGTTACCCAAGGCACCCCAAATGCCCCGTCCACACGTCCAGACATCCACTGTAACACGGCCCAGGTCGCGAACGGTTGAAGGGTTCTCATTTGAACCCAATACGCGCTGTGCGTCCACAGCGATGAAGCTATTGGCGCCGCCGGCCGCAATCCGAGTTGCCTTGGGAACGTATGGGCCCCGGTATAGTCTCCTGATCGGCACCATGATGGGTGCATCGCAGTACGGGAATGACGGGTCGAATTCCATTCCCAACTGACCGAAAGAGTTATCACCGAAGGCATACACATTGCCGTGGTCGTCGAGGGCCATCGAGTGATAGTCGCCGGCCGCCACCTGGATGATCCTAGATCCCTTCAGAGCGCTGACCTCGTGGCACATATCCACCGGCCCCTTAGGCCGATTCGCCCACTTCAACCCAGGTACACCAAGTTGACCGAAGGACGGATAGTTTTCCGACGAAGATGCAACTGAGAAGACGCGGCCCGAGCTAGTAAGAAGCAGAGCATGGTCGATTCCGCCGGTAACAGCGGTGACCCGTTCACCCAGCCTCAAGCTGGGTTGCAGCTTGCGATAGCTCATACTAGCCGATCCAGACCAGAAAGGCACCCAGGAACCCTCGCTGGGCTTGTGGCCTCCTAGTTGGTCTGCCTTGGCAATCGGGATCGAATAGACAGTGCCATCCGACGATAAGGTGATGAGGCGATCATTGGACATGCAAAGCGAGGTAAGGTTCTTGCCAGTCAGGGTCGTCGTAGGCTTGAAGTCGGTCTCCGAAAAGCCCTTGCCCCATTGCACCAAATCGCCAGTCTCAGTGATGGCCGCGCCGGACGTCTCGCCAAGCTTGAGGTCTCTGAGGACCTGGCCGTCGAAGTAAGAAAGCTTCCGCGGAGTCTTCACCACCGAGTCTTTCGATCCCGGATCGACTACTTTGTAGGCATTGTTGCCCCAGACATAGACCCCGGGACTCTTCACACTCCGTTTCTTCTGCGCAAATTGCGAGCCGAAGTCTTGGGTGGCGTTTGTGAGATCCTTCACTTGTTCTACTGGGGTTTCGAGTTCATTGCCCTTGGACGTGGCGTACTCATAGCCCAGGTACCCAGCAGTACCTAAGGTTGCCACCCCCAGCGAGTTCCGAAACCAGTGGGAGGAAGATCCCTGGTTGTTGCCACTGCTGGCATACAATCGCCGCCAAGGAGCTCCAACAGCTCGACTGTCCCTTGCCAGGCGACGAGACGCTTGAACGGCGAGGCTAGTCGCTGATTGCCGTCCCCGAGATGTCCACATAATGTTCACAACACCTATGATAGGTTCATACAATCAAAGTGTCCAGATTGACTGGTCTGTGCTTACGAGAAAGCTCAAAGGGAAAGCTCCAAAAGATTAATTGTGAATGGTTGTTGCGTCAGATACCGTAAGCGGAAGGTAGCGGCAGAATAGCGGCGCATTGAAGCCACCGAGGTTGCGGCGTGTTTACAACCACCATGTGTGGAACGGCTCGCGGGGTGCTGACCGGACTGCCTCCTGCTTGAATTGGGCGCTCAGAACCAGGCACAAGTACCGTCATATACTTCTGATCAGTCTCCTCTCGTGAGAGACAATGCGCCAACAAGCTGCGGGTCAGCGAAGTCGTCGCCAGACTGCCCCGTCTGGACCGCCGGTAGATATCAAGGCCAAGGTGATTGACGAGCATGAAACCATTCCGGATGGCCTGGAATCTTTCACCGACATCAAAAATGAGCTGGAGTTTGCGCAATGGTATAACGATGTTGAGGATAATTTGCTTGAGGCCAGCTACGATGAGTATCAGTAAGTCGCGCAACAAGCCGCCGCCGACAAAGCCCCTGATAAATGCTGACCTGCCTTTGCTTTCAGAGCATGTTTACAGGAGCTTCAACTGTCCAAGTCCCATCTAGATGCCTTATTATCGGATACATCTTCGACCCTAAACCTTCTCACCAACCTGTCCAATGACTTCAAGGCTGTGGAGTCGCAGACGTCCAATTTCCAGAAGCAGTGTGAAGGGCTTCTCTCCGCGCAGAAGCACGACCTAGAACTAGCTACGGATATTCAGGATAATCTGCAGTACTATGAATTTCTCGATCCGGCTTCGAGGCGGCTTAATGCTCCGGGTGCTGGAAATACTGTGCGCGGGCAAGAGTTCTCGGATATGCTCAGACGGCTCGACGAATGCTTGGACTACATGGAGGTACATGTGAGTACATGCAGTATCATGGTCTTGTTATCTCACCGTGCTAATCAGCTTTGCTTGTTCAGACCGACCAAAAAGAGGCCAGCGTGTACCGCTCCAGGTATCGGCTCCTGATGACTCGAGCCCTTACTCTCATTCGAACACACTTTGTCACTTCTCTACGCGATATCTACGCCGATGCCTCCAAGAAGATTGCCGACAAACAGCTCAATGAGACAACCATGTCCACCCTACTATATGCGAAATTCCGGGTCGGCGCACCGGAGCTGAAACAGATTGGCCTCGAGATCCAGAAACGCGCCGTGCCTCCGTTGGATCCCGACCAAGGCACGGAGGCCGAGTACCAGAGCCTTCTCAACGATCTTCACGCCAACTACGCTGCGACTCGCGGGAAATTGATGATCCCGCTGGTCCGCAAAAATCTCAGCGACATCGCGCAGTCACCTACCTCGTCACAGGATCTGGTTTCTTTCGCTCGTGCGAGCATTAGCTACATTCGCGGGGTCTGCTTGGACGAATTCGAATTATGGGGGGAGTGGTTCCATGGTCAGGGTGGGCTCTACGACTTCCTCGAAACCATCTGTGAACCTTTGTATGATCACCTCCAGCCCAGGATCATTCACGAGGACAAGATAGTCAAGCTTTGCCAGCTTTGCACGCTGCTACAGACCCGATACCTATTCGATCAGGATGAGGAGATAGAACAGCCCCTGGACGCCAATCAGCTCGACTTCACCACTCTGATTCAACCTGCTCTGGAAGACGTTCAGACTCGCCTCGTCTTCCGGGCTCAAGCTTTTCTCCGCGATGAGATTGAACGGTACAAGCCCCGTCCCGAAGACCTGGATTACCCGGCACGCAACCGGCAATTCTCGATCTCGGTCACGGAGGGCCAGATCTCCGGCCGCAAGATTGCTTCCGAGCCCATTGTCAACATCCAAAAGTCCGCAAAACAAACCGAAGATAGCACAGACGCAGACCCCGATGCGAAGTGGGATCTTGAGACTCCAAATGCCTTTAGTGGGTGGTATCCAACCCTTCGTAAAGCCATTTGGTTACTGAGCCGCATTTACCGGCTTGTCAACGTAAGTCCGCGTTCTTTGCCCCCGGAGACTTGCAATCATCAAAGGCCATCCTACTAATAAATACTCAGTCGACCGTCTTTGACGATCTCGCCCATCAAATCGTCCACCAAACCACCCTCTCCCTCCACCATGCCAGCACTCTCATTCCCCCCTCAACCACTACAAGCAATCCCAAATCCGCAACGCCTACTCCCCCAACTCGTCTGGAAACCCACCGCCAACTCTTCCTAATGAGCCATCTCCTCATCCTTAAACAACAAATCGTCGCCTTCGACATCGAGTATGTCGCCCCAGAAACCTCTTTGGACTTCTCTGGTCTCACGCACACCTTCTGGGAGCTCCGGGAAGAGCGCGGCGGCCTCTTCAACCCGCGCAACCTCGTCCGCCTGGTCGGCCATGGTCTCCTGCCCCGCGTGGTCGAGAATATGTTAGACGCGAAAGTCGAACTGGATGGCCGTCTCCGGACCGTGATCAACGACTTTATCAATGGGTTTGCCAGCACAATGACCGCATCACTGCCCGCGAAGTTCGTGGCCACCGCCACCGCGCAGAGACAGGCGGCGGAGGAGTGGATCTATCCAACGTGTCGGAACATCGAGACTGAGGTGCTGGGACTGAGGCGCGTCTTGGGGGAGTACCTGGATGATCTGCGGATGCGGGAGACGTTGGTCGGGGCGGTTCAAGATCGGGTAATCCAGATTTACGAGGAGTTTTGGGAGCGCTTTGTCGCCGAGGAGAGACGAAGCGGATCGATGGCTGGAGGAGTGAGAGGGAAGGGGAAGGGGAAGGGACGTGAGGACGATGTCTGGGATGTGGATACGTTTGCGGAGTGGTGTGAGGGCGTCTTTCGAGTGGGCATCTCGGGGGTAAATGATGACGATGATGCTGTTGGTGACGGTGATGGAAATGCTTCGAGTCGGACAGGGAGCCTGGGCTCACTGCAGAATCAATAGTCGGAGGGGCAGATGAAGTTGTAAATATTTATACTCATTCTTGGCACATAGTATGGTCACCCGCCACCAATTCTATTAGGAAGTATACATTAAAGTATACAACTTGGAAGAGTACAGCAGTTATCAGGTGACCCGCGTGATAAGAAACCTTGGAAACTCTTATCGGAGGATCGGCGGCGGATGGACCAGTCAGACGAACCAGTCATCGGTCATGGGATACCAGCACGTGCAGGACCCGGGGGAGCTTCGAGTCTCCTTCGCCTCGCCTCATTATTGACTTCTGCTCCTTTTTGTCCTCTCTGCATTGCATCCTTATCCCTCATTCTTACCGATATCCTTACTCTTATACTTAGTGTTGTCCAACTTTAGTACCGGTTCGAGGCCTAGTCAAGTGCCACAGCACAGGCAATGTTTATCTCCGATAGCAGCACCCGAGCTATCGGGTCCACCGCCAGCTCTATGAGAGATACGCTCCTGCAGCGTCTCCCCGGGCCCCAGCAGGTCCTGAAAGCCATCACGGGCACACTCGGAGTCTCTTCCCTCTCGGGATCAGACTATTCCACGTCAGAATCGACATTTCAGCACTGCCCGGCGGCCGAATTGAGCTGCAAGACACGGTACCATGGCCAGGATACCTGTTGCTTCAACTACCCGGGGGGTCAGATGCTACAGACGCAATTCTGGGATGCCGACCCCGCCATTGGACCTGAGACTGCCTGGACAATTCATGGCCTATGGTGAGTGTTTTTTCTGTCCAATGGCCTGTTGCGAGAGCCTGGAATTTCCCTTATTCAGCACTTCAATAAGCCGCCGGACTGACCCATATCCCCTCTTCTCCTACATAGGCCGGACCACTGCAACGGCGGATTCGACCAATATTGTGACTCGAAACGGAGGTACAGCAACATCTCACTAATCTTGGTGGACGCTGGCCGTGGGGATTTACTGGACTACATGAGCACGTACTGGAAAGACTTCCGCGGCGACGACCCGAACCTCTGGGAGCACGAGTGGAATAAGCACGGTACCTGCGTGAGCAGCCTTGAGACACACTGCTATACGGAGTACATCCCCCAGCAAGAGGTCGTCGACTACTTCGATAAGACAGCCGATCTGTACCGCGGGCTACCTACCTATGAGGTGAGCTTCCCTCCACCCCCTGTTAATACCACACACTAACGAGCCGGAACTATACACAGACCCTCGCCAAAGCCAACATTCTCCCCTCATACACCAAAACCTACACCCGTCGCGAGATTGAAGATGTGCTGTCGCAATCCCACGGTGCAGAGGTCACGATCCGTTGTCGGCATGGAGCTCTGAACGAAGTATGGTACTACTTCAATGTCGCAGGCCCTCTGGTATCGGGGAAGTTCGTCGCCTCAGACCCAGGTGAGTATTCAGCAGCTAGCACGCTACCTCTCCCCGCGTCGCACATCCCCCAAATACAATTGCGTCCCCTTTGCCAGTCACCCCCATAACTAACCAAACAATAATCCAAACCAGACGGACAAATCTCCAACTGCCCCGCCAGTGGCATCCGCTACCAGCCCAAAACCCCACACCACGGCCACGAACCCACGAAGACAACCACCCACAATCCCTCGGAGCCCACCTCGCCCCACGGTGCCCCGTTCCAGGGCCGGGGTAACCTGATGATCTCGACCATGGGCCAGAAACGAGGGTGCATTATCAGCCGCGGAGCGTGGTTCTCCTCGGGCACCTGTGCCACCTTCACTGCGAAGAAGACGTCAGGTATATACAAACCCTCCTCCCTTTCTGTTATCATCATCGACCCAGAACAATCTCACTAACAAGTCACGAATTCTGAATATGTGTAGATGACCTCTTCACCCTGCACTCCAGCAAGGGTAACTGCGGCTTCGCCAAGGACATCTTCACCTGCGGCGGTGCCGTGCACAAAGCGCAGGAATTCGGCGTAAGCAACAATAACCCTTTTTCCCTTTCCCCGGAAATATTCTTCCCCGCCCCCCCCTTCACAACCTCGCCAAGACACATAAAGCCATACCAAGGCACCAGGTCCACTGACAGCCCACAGATCGACGACGGCAAGCTCGCATACCACGGCAATTCCACCTTCTTCGCCGACAAGGCGCCCAAGGGCCCCACGAAGAGCAAGGTCTTCGCCTCGCAGGAGGATCATCAGATTGAGTTGGCGATCACCTGGAGGCCGGATTACTGAAGTTGATTAAGCCGGATGGTTGAGTGACTTTTTATCGTCCTCTTTTTGTTAGGGTCTGCTTGCGTATGGGTTGAGTTTCCATTCCTTTGGTTTGTTGTGTGTATCGCATATGCATCATATCATAGATATATATAAATATATGTACTCAATACTAGAATTTCGACGGAGTGAGGATTCGTCCATATAGGTTTATTCTTTGGAGCTTCGAGTGCCACAGCTTGATCGAGGGGGTCCGTATGCCCCGTCTACCACGATACTGTAAACAGTTAATCGCAAACTAGAAACATAAAAAAAGTACCACTCCATCATGCTCCGATATCGGCAGCAGTCTCATAGGTTAAGCCATGCTAATAGCTCTCCAGGCTGCAGTACACTGCAACACACACACACATACACACACCCGTGCCATAAGGTAACTCGGGAGTACGAGCATCAAGAAAAGAATTAATAAGTAGATTCGTCAAGAAGTTTAAGGTAAAGGAGCTTCAAATACACAAAGTAAGAAAACGAGCGTCGGAGGTCTTTCGTTAAAATCTCGCATTAATGCCTCAAGAGCAAAAAGAAAATCCCATTCCATCCCATTCCGCAAACACAAAACAACAGGAACAGAGAGGTATTGTGGAGCAAAACGGAATCAGAATAGTACAGTAGTCGAAGGGGAAAAAAAGCGGTTGGGGAGAGTCCAAAGCCGCAAGTCAGGGCATACCTGCAAGTGGAAGAAAAAGGGTAGAAGAAACGAGGTTCGTTTCGAGAGATCAAATCAAACCAAATCAACATTCGAATAAGAGACACAGAATCTTAAAAAGGGTTTTCAAATCCACACACAAATAGCATAAATCTCAAAGTTCGTTTCAAAATAAAAATCCACACATAAAAGGCAATCACAAAAAACGAAGGGACGACCTGTAGAAAAAGAACTCCGTAAATTGGCAAAGGGGCATATTTCCACAAGTCTTGAAGGGGGGCAATGGGGTTGGTCGTACATGGGTTTCGTTTGCAGAAAGTCGAGGCATCACATCAATCGACAGTTTTTGCAAGTTCGAAAAAGCGAAAGTCGTTCGTCCGGAGTAGAACACGGAACAGGGAAGGAGCAGCAGCGAAGCAGAACATTTTCTTTTGTCACAGGTAAAATATCAATCGAAGTGGTTCAGAAAACGGAGGGAAAGGTAAGAAAGGTAGGGGGTTCTTCGTGGAAAACATTGTACACATATGTTCGGGTCGTCTCGGTCTTTAGATAGGTAAGGGCAAAAGGCAAAAGGGGTCATATCTTATATGCATGGTTCCAAATCGTTCAGTCCTAAAATCGTCAAGAGTCTTGTTGCACATAGGGCGTTAGCCTGAGGTCATCGCGTCGTCAAAATTGCTGGCTTGGTCGTTATAAATTCACCTCGAGATCGTGATCGTAGCTGTCGTCTGTATCTTTTCAATCCATGAAGAATTCCTTGGTCACGGCATCGGCGGCTTGCTCGTCCACTTGGAACTGGAAGAAGAAATCGTCGCCCATGGCAGGGCCCGCAGGGTAGCCTTTCGCGGGGAATAGGTCCATGCCGGCCTCGAAGGTCGCCGTATTCACGTAATCGGGGAAAGCGGCCATGTCTGTTTCAGTCAGGTCACTGAATTCTTGCTTAGCGAACGTTGCAGTCGATTCTTGACTCATGAAGATGTCAAGCTCGGAGCCAGCAGACGAATCGGTCAGAGTTGGGGCGGAATGCGGGGAAGAGAGACCATTGGTGACTGAGCCGGAGCCATCGGTGTAGGTGCACGACTCGGGATCCGACAGGTACGGGAGGCTGGAGTCGGACATCAATCGGTGCAAGGGTTGCTTGATCGGCGACGGCAGCATTTCGTCCTCGGTGGTAGGGCTGAGCGATCGGTGGCTTCGGACGGGAGACGGCTTGTTGCCGGTGCTGTGGCCTGGAGACGCGGGCGGTGTGAAGGTGAATACTTCGGGAGGCAGGGAGTAGTTAGGGTTGCTGAAAACCGGCATTTTCTCCGAGGGGCTCGACCCGTGAAGGCTCATACTTTCGAAGACATCGGACGGAGGGGTGCTGCGCGAGGAGTCGGAAGCTGAGGAATCAAAAGATCCCTTTTCGGCGATGCGCTGACGGGTTCGGGCTGCTTTGTCCTGTCTCTCATCCATCTCGGGCCGGTGCTTCTTGGGACGACCACGCTTCGTAGTCTTGCGCACAATGCCCTTGTAGCCACCAATGCACATACCACGCTGTCGATGTCGCGTCAACGCATCGTGTCTCGCGAAAACATTACCGCACAGGCACTCGTAGGGCTTGTCGCCGGTGTGGATCTTGGCATGCCGTTTGAGGTCGTGGCCACGGACGAAGCACTTGTTGCAGTGGTCGCATTTGTATTGCCGATCCCCGAGATGGGTTTGCACATGCGATTTGATGTTCTCTTTGCGGCCGAAGCGACGTTCGCACCCTGGGTGCAAGCATACCCATTTGCCGTCTTCGGGGTCCGGACCGTGGATATAAGACGCAATCTCGTCAATGGTGACTCCGGTTTCTTTGATTGATGCCTGTACGCGAGCGTCTAGGTTGAGACTATCGATAGTTGCGACCCGTGGCGAGAGCTTTGGCTTGGCTGCTGTGCTAGGGGTTGCGCTCGGGGTCTTCCGGTGATTCACACGGTTGGGGGTCGCAGGATAGATCGGTAGCTTCTGTGCCTTTCCGTTGCCGTCCTCAGGACATGGCATGGCGGCGAGCTCTGGTGACGAGGCGAACGACGACGAGGCTGATGACGACGAGGCAAACGGCCCTTGTGACAGACTCTCAGACTTAGGAACTTCGATGTTAGAACCCTGCTCATAGTCAAAAGTATCAAAGGAATCCACTTCAAAAGATGCTGTAGTTGGGGGAGAGGGCATGTTAAACTTCTGCTGGGAGAACGTAGTTCCGACTACTCCTTGGAGAGACTTCGCGCGCTGCATGTACGACGCTTGCGCGGCACCGGACACGGAGAGGCTTTGCTCCTTAGTTGGGGATGGTTGAAGGTCCGGATTGTAGTGCGCAAGGCCCACTGTTTGCTTGAAGGGGGTGGCCACAGGTGTGATCTGGGCATATTCTGCACGACTAGTTAGAGCCTCGGGTCATATTGAGACGGACGAATATCTTCGGAGACTTACGTCCGTTGCTAAGCTTGGGTGCATGCGCTGGGTGCGCCTGACCGATAGCCGGTGCTGCCGACAATCGTCTTGCGTCCATTACCATGGCATTAGCTTGCTGCTGCTGGAATGCTGCAGCGATGTTGTTCTGTTGGTAGACATCCCAAGCTCCATTGTCCAAGATTTGGCCCTCCAAGGACGCCTGACAAGACAGTTTCGCATCCTGGAGCTGCTGCTGCTGCTGCTGCATGAGGTTGAGCGACATGTTCATTGGTTGGCTTTCGACCTTGATAAAGTTTGCGTTCATGTAAGGCATGTTCGGTTGGCCTCCTTGGCTTTGACGAGCGGCGAAGGACTGCAAGTCTTCTTGAGGGAAAGCCTGGCATTCAGCCATGATGGGCATGGGCGCGGAATGGTGGGGGAAAATTGGCTGCGCGACCTGAAGAAAACGGTGGTCTTGAGTGGGGGGCAACATAGTTGGGTGCTGTTGCGGTACTGTTACGTTAGTAGTGATGGTACCATCTTGCATGGACTGCGATCGCTGAACGCGCATAGCGCGCGCATCGAAGCTTTGGCCTCGGCGATGAGCGTGAAATCGGTGCATTGCCTGTGCGGGAAGAGTTGGAGGTTTAACGGCATCAAGAGCGGATGGCGTTGAGATCTGTCTCCGATGTTGACGATGTCGTTCTTGATAGTTGCTGTGCGGTGTAGACAGCATGATGGGGAAAGAACTGGAATCTTCGCGCGCTGGTCGCAATTGTTGAGCCGATGACTTGACCGACTTCTTCTGCAGGTTATAAAGGTGTAAGCCTGCTGGGTCATGTCTAATGCGCGGGCCATAAAAAAATTCATTCAGCATGGGAGTACCAACCTCTTCGCAGCGCTAGCCACAAGGCTGGGCCAAGCAGATGGTAATAGACCGCCCTGGAATTGTGTCAGTCGGTGATCTCTTGAAGAAAGGAACTCACGCGCGCAGAAGTCTAGGTGTTTAAGCTAGGGCAGGACAGAGGGAAGAGACAGAGAGTTTCAAAGTATCAAAGTAGACTGTGCGTCAGATCTATGCAAAGTGGGTTCTGGCGGTGGTCCTTCTAGATCGTCAATGCAGTGGAAGATGCAGCCGAAGCCTTCTCTTTTTTTTGTGTGTGTGTGTGGATTCTAGAGCTTTCCTGTCGCGATTGCGAAACGGTCTTGAAGCCCCGGGGTTAACGGAGGCAGGAAGGCTGGGGAGAGACACAAGACAAAGGATGTCTAAGGGTATTTAGAGGTGGGAACCAAGGTAGGTGGATGGAGATGATGAAGCTATCCCGATCCACCGACCACGGTTCAGATCAACAAATGGCGGCGTTGGCGTAGCAACGCGGCTGGGTTGAGGCGTCAGGACAACCAGCGCCCCTTGGCATGGACGCCCGCCAGTGCGGTGGATCGCGCCCTGGTCCGAACGCACTTTTTAGCACTTTTAGCACCTTTAGCATCTTTGGGCCGTGAGTTGATCGGGCCCTGCAAGGAGCCGGTTTTATCTGGGTGTTCCCCTGCGCGATCCAGAGTTCCAGACGCCGGCTGCACCGCGGTTCAGCTCCCGATGGCAGTTCCATCCTGTCGCGGATCGAAGCCGCCTGTGGGCAGTGAGGGTTCGAAACATTATTACTGAGTACTTCGTTGATGCTCCCTATCTCTGCAATAGTTCTTCAATTAATTGACGCCAATCCTCCTGCGCTTCGATTGATGATGAGTAATTTTGCAGCTGAGGCAGGGTGAGTGGGGGGGGGAAGGGAATGCTGACGGTGATGATGACGATATAATTTGTGCCTTCGAAATGGAGTGGAGTGGATAAGCTGGATAAGCTGGATATCGTTTCCGGGGCTTTTGCCGACGGGAAGAAGTCCCAGCGGGCTGGACGCCGGATCTTTCAGGCAGCAATGACGCAGGGAATGGCTGGGGATCGAGGGGGATCGAGGACAGTCACATGATACGGGTAGATACACCAGTCACATGACTGTGAGTACCCGGAGGGCCGGATTATCCGATTACAGGAAACTAACCCTGAACAGGCAACTGTAATCCACGTGATCGCACAACCGATTTTAACGAACGGCCTCCACCATAGATAGATATTTTCTCCTTCACGATCGTCACTGAAGGTTTAGGAAGACAAGTCTTGTCGAGGTTAGTTGAACGCCCCCCTACACTTGCCTTGCGATGTGATCCCAGGATGCTCACCCTCATCGATGCCCCCCCCCTTTCTCTATCCCCTTCGTTTCATCCTCGCACAGCTGCAAATCTTTTGCTGTGTGAGATGATTCGGGAGGCGAAAAAGGAAGCATGCCGGATGAGGGGATGAACCTTTCTGGAAAAATCTCTTCCCAGAGGCAATAAACGAGGCACAAAGAACAGGAACAAAAGACTAACTAAATCACCCTTGCTATCAGACCTTCATCAAGATGCAGATCTTCGTCAAGACCCTTACGGGTAAGACTATCACCCTTGAGGTGGAGTCCTCCGACACCATTGACAATGTCAAGTCCAAGATCCAGGGTGAGTTTCCATCCCAAAAATTGCACACCTCGAGCGCAAATCCCTTTCCTCGCTTCGACGGCAACAGTCCACTAACATATCCTCAATCCAGACAAGGAGGGTATCCCCCCGGACCAGCAGCGTCTGATCTTCGCTGGTAAGCAGCTCGAGGACGGCCGTACTCTTTCGGACTACAACATCCAGAAGGAGTCCACCCTCCACCTCGTGCTCCGCCTGCGTGGTGGTGGTAAGAAGCGCAAGAAGAAGGTCTACACCACCCCCAAGAAGATCAAGCACAAGCACAAGAAGACCAAGCTCGCCGTCCTCAAGTACTACAAGGTCGACGGTGATGGCAAGATCGAGCGTCTCCGCCGCGAGTGCCCCTCCCCCGAGGTATGTTCTCACGTTTCTCCCGCCTTTTGTCCAGGTCAGTTGACTAACTTTGTCTCTCACACAGTGCGGTGCCGGTATCTTCATGGCTGCCATGCACAACCGCCAGTACTGCGGCAAGTGCCACCTCACCTACGTCTTCGACGAGTCCAAGTAAATTGGCCTTTGACAAGTCGCCTATCTTTCGCTCCAGCTGGATGTGCTTCGATCTTCCCCACGGAACTAGGACAGTGAAGGTTGCAGGGTTGGATATGTGAGGTGTATTGGGACGTGTGCGTTATGATCGTTCCATAGTGACCTTAAGACAAATCAAATGAAAAAAATTTCAAAAAAAATCATCATCTCTAAACTATGTAGAACGCGTGTATATGTCCATAAGCAAAGTCAAACCGGGCACCATGTCATCGTGAATCTGTGCATCTGTGCATCTGTACGGGGCTTTACTGGAAACCTTTCTTCAGGTTGTCGTACTTGCTCTCCGGGTAGGACAGTGCGTTCTGCGACTGGTCCAAGGACGAGAGCCCGCCCACCCCTTCAACAAAGGTTCCGATCAAGCTCCCGTCTGACTTATTCGCGGTCTTACCTCCCTTATCCCCGCTAAGCTCCCACCACATCCCACCGCCGAGCTGCTTCTGGTTGATGTATTGCAACTTCTGCTCGCCCACAGCGACAGTGTCGTACGAGATCATGGTGCGGGCGCTGGAACTGTAGCTCCAGGACGCGCCAATGGTGGCATCCACGTTCTCGGTGGCACCGGCCTGGGGCAGCGCTTTGTAGTCCCAGACACCATTCTCCCAGCTCCCTCCTCCGACGCCTGAGAAGGCGGTGCCGGGTCCGTCGGTGTTGGTGAAGGCACGCCCATATAGGGGCATCCCCAGCACCAATTTCGTAGAGGGCACTCCGCCAACTTGGGTGTAATAGTTCACGGCCTCATTGGTCGAAAAGGGGGTCGAGGCGGGCTTGTCAGAGGAAGGATATATATTGGCTTGGTGACCTGCGACGGTGTCCCAGCTCCCGGCGTAGTCGTACGCCATCAGGTTGTAAAAGTCCAGATACGGCGTCATCTGGGACAGCTTGAGCTTGGTGTAGTTGGCCGGTCCTAGAGAGAGTCAGATATCAGAGACTGCCTATCTCGGGACTAGGATTATGGTTCGTACTCACCAGCAGGGCAGGCGATGGTCAGGTAGAACTTTCTGCTGGCACCTGCGGCGTTGTCCAGCGTCTAGGGCAGTTAGCATAGACCATTCGTCCACCGAGGCGATGCACTAACCTCACGACATTTCTGCAGAAGCAAGACCATGTTCTGGGCCTCGGTATCGTCTACCTGTGTATCAGCACTAAACCTTGCACGTATCAGGAGCATCGAAACCAACCTTTCGGATACTCCCAATCAATATCAATACCTGTGAATCATGTCATTAGCAAGTTTGATATGCAGCCAGGAAGATGAAGAAGGCTGGATACCATCGAATCCAAGGTCCGTGACCAACTTGGTGGCCGTCGTAGCGAAGTTGGCCCGGTTAGCATCCGAGGCGGCTGCGCTGGGGAAGTTGGACGAATAAGTCCATCCACCAATGGACAATAGGACCTTCAGCTTGCGGTTCTGCTGCTTGAGCAGGAACAGCTGCTTGACGCATCCATAGACATTGGTGCCAACGTCGTTCCACGAATCAGTGGGATAGTGCTTCTCGATGTCCGACCAGGTGTCGGAAAGGTAGCTGATGCATACATCAGCCGGGTTGTTGTGGTGGAGAAAGTAGGCAAGATAGATGACAGTTGGCAACTCACACTTCGCCAGTTTCTGGGCGAACGTTGGCAAAGGCATAGAGTATATGGGTCAACTTGTCCGCGGGGATATCCTGGGGGTTGTAGTTGCGCCCGTAGATCGCCTGAGGATGGATTAGCATGGGGAGTACATCCCATGTGGACCAGTCAGCAATCTTACCCAGTTGACGAAGTAGGCTACCGACTTGAGCCCGGAAGACATAGCTGGTGTTGTAGTGTTTACAAGAGTACTTGAAGAGTTATGATGCAGCGGAGGTACCGTTTGGTTGTCGCCGAAGTAACGAATCGAGAAGATGAGCACAATGGTTAGAACAACCAGGAAATGAATGGATGCAGAGCAGGCCATATTCTGCAGGGCGCGTTCAACTATTAAATAGTGCTTGAACTGTAGCTAGCCTTGCCAGCAAGATGGTCGTTGTTGTAGCCTCCACAGGGGGGTAAGCAGTTTAGGCGTTCTACCATCAAGTGTGTGTGACATTGGTGGATCGTGAGTTTTGGCAGCCTCCGGGGATGATCCCGCTGCGGATGCCTTGGCCTGGCGGTCTAGTTGGAAGGTTAGTAACCAACTTACTTTACTCTGCCTACCAATAAGTCATGCCACACAAGCCCGAAGACCATCCCAAGGTTTACTAAAGGATTCTAGGTTCGAGATTCCACTACCTTAATGCTACCTACCCCGTCCCCGGTGATGAGATGCTGCAACCTTGGCTCCCATGATTCGCTCCTGAACGACTTGGACTTTCTTTGATCGCCGTCATGCGTCTGAATCATGGTGCTCAACTCATCCGGTGCATACCTGAGCAGGCGGCTCAAGAACCTGAGACTCGGACTATCAGATTGGGAGTCTTTCGCTAGCGAATCGAGTCTAAGTCCAGGTTCGCATGACTGATAACCCTTTTGATCCCCATCACTTGAGACTCTGTGAAGAAAGTTGATCCTCGGCTAGATACGCTTATTCGAGATAGCAACCAGGGGTGCAAAACTCAAAGTCGACCACGCGGGGATTGCAGCATCGCATCTTCTTTGGAGAGTTGCATCCGTCACAATTGGCAGAATGGTAGAGTCATACAGGGAATGACTGCAGCCACAGTTATACAGCATGATCGGGGCATAAGAATCCATACGCGAGCCTAGTCTAGAGACTTGACTCATTTCTGGCTGGCATTTCCAAGAAGAGCTTATCGATGGGCCCTGCAAACATTCATGCTTATTATTTTGTTTACTTTTAGCTTATGATCCATGTCGTCACCCGATCCGAGAGCACATTTTACATAAGCCGGCGCAAGCAAGCCACTGTGCTCCACCTGCCTAGCCACAGTTGCACCGCCGCCGGATAGACATTTCTATTCTTGGAACTGTTGATTTGATCTTCAGTTCCTACTCGCTTCTCTCAAGTGATTGAAGTAGATGCTTTATGACCTTGATGACATTCTATCAGTGAAAGTTTACTCAGAGTATGCTATGAGGCGCGGGAAACAACTCGACCCGTCCTCCGCCTGCCCTCGACATCCACATTCCGACTTGGATATATCTCATTTGACACACAGATGGCGATGAACCGGCCTGAACGAAGGGCCAAATAAATGTTAAATCTGATCAATAGCTCCTAGACAAACAAATTCCTCGTTCATTCTCCAAAAGTCGAGGGTCATTCAGCTTCGAGAACTAATCCGGTGACACGCTATTGTCCTGTGTCCCAATGACCACAGTAGAAGCCCAGTGGCCAAGCCCCAATAAGAGTAACATACCTCGCGAGTCGCCACTCCAAAGTAAAAAGCAGAGAGAGAGAGAGAGAGAGAGAGAAAGAGAGACCTACTCGAAGACGTAGCCCATACCCCAACTCGCGCGCACTTTTCGCCTCCCGGTTGAATATAAAGAGACAAGTCCCCTGTACATGATGCATATCTTGGAATGACGAGATCGATCTCAGCGCAGTACAGTACATGGTGCATCATGCATTGGAGCAAACGATAGGGGTTTACATGAGGGCATCAGGGCTCAACAGGGAAAAAAACCGCCTACGGTAACATGAATGAGTGCAGAAACAGTCACCATGGACCGATGGGCCAGGAAACAGCGTGGCTGCCCCTGTGCCACGCCCTACCCTCGTGGCCATCCCGACCTGACCTGGTAGTACTGCACTCATATCAGACATTCCCAGATCGAGAGGGTGGGGGGGAGAAAACGTCCTGACAACTTCTTCGAAGCACCTGCCGACCAATTCCCACCAACAGCCCCAAACCCATCCCAGCTGTAATCCGATAACATATGAGTGATAACATGCGATATTGCAAAGAAACGGGGAACGGAGGGAGTGGATCTCTCCCGAACAACCTCAGCTGAACCCTCCACCTGCCCACCCCCACCCGTCCCCATCCAATTGGCCACATCAATATTAACCTCTCATCCTTCAGCATCCGTCATTTTTTCTTTCTCGATTGCACGGCCACACCATCCCCTCCCAGAATCCAATTAGAGGCACAAGAAAAGCAAAATGAACAACGCACCCTGCATCATTCCTGTGCTAAAAAAAAAAAAAAAAAAGAAAGAAGAGAAGAAAAAATTTATCATAGACATATCCAAGAAACGGCACACGGGTCCCCATCTCAGCCTTTTTTTTTTTTCCCGGTCGTCATCGACTTCTGACTCAAGGATTAGGGAAGTATTCAGCTGGGATGTTCATGGTGCCCTCAACTCCACGGCTCTAATGCACGTTCGGTACCTCCGGCAGAGAAGCCCTACAGATACATGCAATAATCAATCACTCAATAAGAAAAACACTGCCGACGAATTACCCACTGTCCAGCTCCCATGTTCGCCCAGAGATTTTTCCGATCGGAATTGTTTACTCTACTTGTAAATCCCGCGAATTGGGTTTGCTATTAGTGAGATATCAAACCGGTCGCTTGTTTCAGGTCAAGAACTATACTGTACCAGGTACTAAGTCCTACGGTAGGTGATAGATTTGATGCTCTCATGCTGCCGCTCTTGTTGCACTACATCCGTAGTGTCCCATAACTACCACCCCTAGAAAAGACAGTCAGACATGGTGCTGCATGTTTCCCTACCCGTCTCCACTTCTAACCGCCGGGCCCACTGAAGCGAAACGGAGTTTGCCGTCGGTTTGGAAAATGTACCTAGTAAACAATGTCACCATCTATGTAGGGCACTCACTGTACAGTGGGCTCAGCACATTCACCAGTTTGTCCTGGGAAGAATCCGAGACATTCTAACGAGTCGTCCTCGATCCCTGAGTAGGTGGATATACTCAAAAAAAGAAAGGATAGGAATAAGAATGCATTAATGCAACATAGTTGAAATACATCGAGTTGAGAAACACATCCATCCAATCAATTCACGTCTAGCGTAAAGCATCACATCCAGGGATATCATAAACCATCAACACATACTCAAAACACGATAAGAGAGACCGAAACCAAAAGAAGCAAACCCCGACATTTCCACCAAAACAGCTTTTCCTTCTCGAAACCAATCGATTTGCCAGCGACCAGCGCTGAGCAACAGTAGAGAACATGCATCCAGTGGACGCTTGCCAAACGGTACTGTAGCCCCGTAATTATCAACATCATGATATCCATACACCATTTAAACCAATTTCCACTCTCACGAGCTTTGATAGGGGAACCCCCTCATGGGTGAGACCGAATCCATTGAAGGATTGTAGGCAGAGAAGGGTCGTCGTTGAGCCAATGACCCGCCCGCGTGTCGGCTGCCCGGAGATCAGCCACCACGTGCTGTTCGGTCACTTGAGCCAGCTCCTGTGCGCAACGATGGTCAGCCAGACTGAATACTACCCTGAAGGTGCGGCAAAAGGGAGACGAGCACTCACAGCATGGAACGTGTTGCTGGCGTTTTTCAACTGCGCCGCGTGCTGCGGTCCCGGCCGCTGTCCACGCAGAATGTTTTGGCGGTTGATGACCCATCGTCTGGCGGCCGCGACCTTCAAGTAGATGCGATGCGCCTGGAAGCGTCTGGCGCTAGCGTCAAGGATGACTCTGAAAGAGTGATGTTGTTAGAGCCTTGGCTTCTGAGAGAGAGGGTGATAAGTGACATGTCTGCGTACCTCCGCAACTCCGCCTTCTCGACCTCTACATTGCCGGCATGTGCTGGCGTCGCGCAGGGGTTGTAGTTGGATGACATCAAAGCTTGCGCCGCAGCCAGGCCGTCTCGGATCACTTTATACCCCTCTTCGTTGAACTCGTCTGCCGGGGCTTGGACATTCTGTTGGGAGATGTGCATCAGAAGAGTCCGGTAGTCGTTGATGATCTCTGCCACTCGAAGGGCGCGAGCTTGGTTGACTGCGACACCAGAATTTATCAGCTTGCCTTCTTCTTCTTTGATGGTGTTGTCCGTTCCACAGATAGCTGAAGGGCACAACGGCAACACTTACGTCCGTCAGCCATTGCAGTAGTGGTTGTCTTGGTTGATGTTTGCAATATAGTATTGTCCAAGCACGGGCAAGGGCTTAGATCTTGGAAAGACGCGAAGGATCCAGTGGGTACGGCCGCAGTAGGACGCCTGGCAGGAAGAAGACCCAAAGAAAGGAGCAAGCCAATTGACTGAGAGCTCGAGGCGAAGAGGTCGTTGGGCCCAAGGGAAGAAGAGCGTTGGTTTCAGATTCTCCAGTCCCATGGCTGAGGAGGCGATATCCTTTTAAGCTTATTATCCTCACCATGGTTTCAACGTCGCAATGGGGATTGCACCGGAAGGGGGATCATCATCGTCATCCACCACCGTGGCTGGCTGCACGCATTGGGAAGCCGATGGAGCAAGCCCAGGACAAGACATCGCGGCGAGAGATGGCAGCTGGAGAACAACAGCCATAGTGGATCAACGGCAGGAGCCAAGCCCATGAGAGCCATGTGTCGGAAGCGCTTGTGATGTCTGGGTCTCCGAATTGGAGCGAGGGCTGATGTCTAGTCTAAGCGTGGGGACGATGCAGCTGGCCCTGGAACAGGCACCCAGCCCTAGGCTTATGGGGCTTGCATAAGGTCATGCAAAAAGAAAAAGAAAGGATACATCCGACCCAGAGCAAGAATTTGGCAATATCCACACGGAAAACCAATAGTGGAGACCGAATTGACGACCAATTGACAAGAGGAACCAGATTTTTTTTTTTAAAAAAAAAAGAAGACGGAATTGTAGAAAAGATACTGCTACTGAGCCCGGATTTAACCCCACTTGTTTGTGGCCGAGGGAAGAATACGGCAACAGAAACACAATAATGGTTTAGTTACTCAGTACCAGGCGTGGACAAGACACTAGATCTCGGTAACAACCCGTGCAGTCAGATTTGTGCAGTGTGCACAGATACACTGACTCGGTGGGGAAAGTGTCATCGTGGCATGGTGACTAGTGAAACGGTGGTGAAAGAGACTCCAGAGTCCAGCTGGAGAGTCCTCGCTTCCTTACGCCACACTACCAGTAGTACAGACCCAGTCGGAGTCATCACGCTCGGAGATATGGTTGATATGGGATAAGTGGCTGGGGCAGCAATGGCTACGGACAAGATATCAGCCACCGACAGCCGTTGGCGCCGGTGACGGAGTCAACATGTATGCACGGTGCGGAATCGTGACAACAATAATAGACTTGCCAGACGAGAAATGTGTGTGAATGTGATAGAGAGAGAAAACTCAATGGGCAAGCCACATCTCCAGCTCAGCCACACATCGGGCAAGAGCTGAAAGAGGGAAAAGCAAACCCACGCACCAGCCTCAGGCTCGGACTCAACTCGAACTATCTTCAATTCAAAACATAATACGAGTGGATTCTCCGATTCCCCATGCAGATACACCTCTCGGTGGCAAAATCACCCAAAGCACAAGAGCTTTTATGTAAGCTCGAGCGTCGGTCACTTCACTTTACAACGCCTACATCATAGGCGATTCTTACTCCATGCCCCAGTGTGATGCTGCTTGTAATCAACGCCCGCAGCGGGGCCGCTGTCTTCTTCCAGAGAACTGCTCTCCGGCGTCTCATCAAGCCTGTCATCTTGCAGCAAGGGCCTCAGGTCTATCACATTAACTTTGACCCCTGCTTTCAAATCGCCACCGTCTGAAAAAAACAAGTGGGACCTCTGGCTTCGCTATCTCCGACTCCGAGTAAGCGCTTGCACGGACGTCTTTCCAAGTTTTGAGATCGAGCGGCAGTTGAGAAGTCAAGACGAAAGACCTAGGGAACGCATTTACCAGATCCGGGGGTTTGCCAATCAAGTTCCAGTAGTAGCGTCACAAAAAAGTAATATTCATGGATCGTTTGTCTCTAACAACAATGGATGCTTGCTTCCTAAACTCAATTAGTCCTTCTCGCTAATGGCCTGCAGCCGCTCGTCAATTTCGTCCTCTGTCAAGGCACGGAAGCTTGGATCTGTGCCCTCTTTGCCATCAGCCCGAGGCCCTCCGACAATGCCGATCTCCAGCTCATGCTTCTTGAAGTCGACGCTCAACACGTTGCTCAAGGCGGTGATGCCCAGCTCGACCACCTCCTCCCAGCTGCCCTCGGCATAGTCCTTGTTCTTCAGCTTCTTCTCCAGGTGGTTAAGCGCCTCCTGCTGCTTGGGACCGGATGCGGTCGCCTTGTATCCAACATAGTATCCTGCCGGGTCGCACTTGTAGAGCTGGGGCCCCTTCTCATCGTCCACGGAAATCAGGGTCATGGCGACGCCGAGCGGGCGCATGTAAGCCTAAACAGATCATTGGTATCAGTTAATGTCGCTCCCACAACCTCAGAATGAGACGATCAAAGCACGAACCCGTTGCGTGTAGACCTGGTTGATGTTCGCAAGGCGCTTGGCAAGGACATCACAGGGCATCTCGTAGCCGTACTTGTATCGAAACTCGGCCGCCTCTCCACGGGCACGGTCAACGCTCGCTCTGGCATCGGCGATGGAACCGGTCATGACACATCCGACGGAGGGGGAAAGCTTGAAGATATGCGAAACGGAGGAGGGGTCGATCAATTTATCCTAGGCTGTCGGTCAGGCCGTGCTCTCCGTCCTCAAACCCCACCAAGGGAACTTACAGCGACCTTCTTCTGGGACAGAACCACAGCGCAGTTCTTTCCTCTAACACCTAATGAGGTGATGTTTGCGGAGGTGATGGCCTTGAAGGCATATTCTAGACGCCGACCGAGGTCAATGGTAAGCCAAGTGTTCTCGGAGACCGTTCGAGCGCCACCGAGGGGAGCCGGAGGGGGGAGAGTTCATAGCGGGCGAGAGACTTACCAACTTGGTACAGACGACCCTGGTCTGAGAAGATGGTAATGTGTCGATCGTAGGCGCTTCCTGTTCACAAAAGCTGTCAGTCAATCGATGAAGTCATTCGAGCCAGCACAATCGGAAGGGATCTGTTTTTACCAGACATGGCTGCGGCGGTATATGTATCTCACAGATTGAATCTTCAGGGTCGACCGAGAGAAAGGATTGAGAGCAAAGAGAGATTAAGATGTGTAATGGGGAGGATTTGGGGGAGGGAGGATGAGGATGGAGGCAGAGGACGCGTGCCAGAGGGTGCCTGGCCGAAGCTCTAAGCTTCGGGGCTCCGTTGAGTAAGCTCCAGTCACCGCCTTCCCCGTCTCCGTCAAGTCGCTCTGCCACCAATGCTGTATGTACATTTACTCCCAGCAACCACACAGTACCAATACTATAATGCATGCTACAAGTTATGCTTTCGAGATACAGGCTTGATATCAAGTATTTCAGCTCTTTCATATCAACTGACGGCTTCTAGGTATATACGGAAAGTCTATACAGCTAACAAACACCACGAAAGAACAAATACAACACCGTAGATGCTTGAACCAGGTATCAAGAACTTTTGAGCTCAAAATTATAGAGCTATGATAGCCACCATATGTGGACGGAATTGAGTTGTCATGCGCATGAAGCAGCAGAGCACAGAGACCAGTCTGTATAATTCAGGTTGAATAAGAACATGTAGCATCAAGCAACTAATCACTGTCGCTATCACTGCTGCTGCTCTCGTCCGAGGATGAATCTTTCTTGGCTGGCTTCTTGGCCTTTTTCTTATCATCGCTGTCGCTATCGCTGTCGCTCTCGCTGCTGCTGGAGATCTCGATGATAGCGGTTCTGTTCTTCTTCTTCTTTTTGGCTGGCGTTTGGTTCTTCTTCGCCATCCGTGGGGGAAGCTTGGGCTTCTCGAGGTTGAACAGGGCACCGGTGACAGCCCAGAGGACGAGCTCAGCGCGCTGTCTCTTCTGCAGCCTCTGTAGTTGCGTAGTGTCAAGGCCCTCGGTGCCTTCCAGGCCTTCGAGGTTCTCTTTGCCCTCCGACAGAAGCGTCCGGAAGGAGGCGACGGCCTTCTTATAACTGGGCTCAGGAGCCACATCGACACTCTCCTCTGCTCCTTCTGTCTTATCCTCCTCAGCTTGCGTCGTCTTCGTCTTCTTCTTTTCTTCTTCCTCCTGCTCCTCCACCTCCACATCCGCCTTGACAACCTCCTCCGCGATCTCCTTCAACCGCAACTTAGCGCCCTCACTCTTCAACCCCTGCAGATACGCCAAGAGCGCAGCATTATACTGCGCGGGGACCTGCTCCAACGACAGCACATGCTTGAACAGATGCGTCTCGCGGTTCTTCTGAAACTTCCACGCCGACCGGTGGTTGTGATAAAGACTGAGGTAGGAGAGGATGGGCGTCTCGTGGACCTTCGGCGCGCCGCCGTCGGCAGCCGTAGCGGAGGACTTGCTGTCCTTGTTCTTCTTCTTCTTCTTCTTTTCCTTCTTCTTTTTCCTCTTCTCCTCCCCATCTCCTTCATAATCCATCTCCTCTGCAGCGCCGTTTGCCTCTGATTGCTGCTGTTGTCCCTCTTGTTGTTGTTGCTCCTGTCCATCGACCTCCATACCCTCCGCCTCCGAATCTCCGCTGCCATCCTCCAACTTCACGTCCGCCGAGAACGAGACCCTCTTCTTCTTTTTCTTCTGTTTCCGCTCCTCATCCGCGGCAGATTTGCCCTTGGTCGCAGCATTCGTCTCGTCGTCGTCATCGTCTTCCAGACGTCGTTTTTTCGATTGCTTCTTGGTGTCTGCTTTCTCGCTCACGGCGTCGTCGCGCTCGTCCGTGCTGGCCTTCTTGGATTTCTTGTCCTTCTTTTCTTTCTTCTCCTTCTTCTCCTTCTTCTCCTTTTCCCTCTTCTCCTTCTTCTCCTTCACCTCCTTCACCTCCACCTCCTTCTTCGAAACAGCCAATTCCGAAGCAGTCATAGCGATCTCCGTCCCAATCCTCAATCCTCAATCCGTAAATTGGTATCCGTAAAGGGAAAAAAAAAAAAGAAAGCCAGACCGAGTCGCAGCACCGAGCGCAGCAATCAAAGGCCCGTAATTCGAATTTCCAACACAGGAATCCGTGTCGCGTAGCCCTCAAGACTTCGATGAAAGCAACCAGCACCCGGAACTTGAGGTGGATGGTGCAGGGTGGTGGAGGGGAAATGCTCCAGTGTTGTTTTGCGTGGGAAACTTTTTTGGGGGGTGGAACGGCGCGAGGGGAGGGAAATTTTCACGTGAGTACTCCCTCCGTACTCCGATAGGCTCTGCCCCCCCGGCGGCGGGCTACTGGGTAGCTACGCTCAGGGTCCCGCTTCGCGGTAACAGTACTGCATTTGATCGAAGGGTCTAGTATACAATTCAGTTGATGCTGGTTATATTCCAAGACAAGAGTTGCTTCCTAGTATGCTATTGCTCAGTGGCATTGTGCTGTGCTGTGTTGTGCTGTACGGCGATTACTCTCAATTGGATTGATTGGTCTCAATCTATACTCAAGTTAATCGTCTGTCTCTCCGACTACTGCAATCATCGTCGTCATCATCATTAAGCTTACAACGGACCTGTGTATGTACATGTACAAGCTTTTACTTCCTGCTGCCGTGTCACTTTCATCCAACCCAGATCCATAAAGACAGAAACAAAAATCGAAAGGACCCAATGATATCAACCACCGAAACAGGATGAGCCCATGATTCCAAGATGAAAACGCACAATACCCCGAGAGAACACCCCCCCAGCCGCCGGTAAATCTAGCCCTTGGAAGGTTGATCCCAACAAGTTCAATGCAGAAGAGAAAAAAGGGAAAGTAGTCGGGATCAGCTGGCACTCCCGCTCTCGTTCCCATTGCCGCTCGTTTTCGGATCTTTCCTTTCCCGCCGGGCTGTCGGTTCCTTGGACGCAGATGCCGGTCTGCTTTCTTCGACCACGATGGTGGAAGTAGTCGCAGAAGTGGCAGCTTCATTGGCGGCGGCCGCCCTTCGCCTCGCTCTGTGTTTGTCGCGCGAGCTCCCTGACCCCGTGCTCCGTCGTTTCCGGGCCGGTTGATAGACGTCATTGAAATTCATCACGACGCCAAGGAAGCGCATGTCCACGTCCGGCTGGTATGCGAGATCGCCCAGAAAGACGTTGAGCCGGGATCGAAACTCTGCGGAAAGGTCGCGGAGACGGGTCTGTAAGGATGCGAGCATCTGATCGTCTGCGGAGAGATCTCCGTGGTCGGCGAGCGATGAGGGGGTGCCGATGTCGTCACCTCCTAGGTTGGGAGTGAATGCTGCCAGAGATGGGGACATGGATGAGACCGAGTCTTTGTGGGCCCGGGTTCGTCTGGAGGAGGATGAGAGGACGTCGCTGTCGGTGAGACCCCAACGGCCTTGAGCGGTGCGTGTCTCGATTTTCGCGCTGAGTTCTTGTCTACGCGTGAACTCGGCAACGGAGAAGGAGTAGAGGCCGTCCACGGCGTCTTTGTAGGCCAACATGACCTTGAGGATGTAGTGCAATTGGCTAAGGAAGTCCTCTTCTTGCGGAGTGGTGGTCTTGGATACGGCAGGAGAGCCCAGGAGGCCCTTGCGCGTGATGGATTCAAGATATTCCTTGTGGGCTCCGATCAGGTCGTCCAGTGTGCAGCCGGGCTTAGAGATAGACGCTTGTAGTTTATCCCAGCTGGCCTCGATGACTTCGAAGAGGATGTAAAACTGAAGTTGACAGACGAAATGGATCATCTCGGCGATGACGCACCGTGCTCTCTTCCAGTCCGAGCCGACTTTGTCGTTGACGCTGCCTAGGACGCCGCGAGCACCTGTCATGCATCGACGCCAGGTGCTTCCCAGGGCAAATTCGACGCGTTTTATGCGCCACAGGAAGTTGAACACTTTCAGGTACTGGCTCGATGCATATTGTGTAATGACCACGTCGACTGGAGGATCGACCTTGTATTCGAGTGTGAAACAGTCCCAGCCGCTCTCGCCATGGCTGTACTCTAACATCCGAGCATCCAACCGTCTGAGCACGTCTGGCGAGTCGTACTGCGCGTTGGAAGCGCGGATTGCATGTTCTAATTGCGCCGTCAAAGTATGTCTGTATTGCGAGTGTGCTGGACGATCAAGATTGGACGCCAGCGATTCCATCAACAGGGCGATGAAATCACCCTGGCCCAACAACATGTACTTTTTCAGCGCTTGAAGGTGCTCGAAGAGCTTGAATTTGTCGTCCATGAGGAAGATCAACCGCGCCATAGTTGTCTTGTGGGCTTCATCAATCGATGCCTCGAGACCAGCCGTATCGCCATAGTGCAGTTCTTTCGAGGTTTCTTTAGAGTATTCCTCTACCCATCCAGAGTTTCCACAGTCGTAGCGAATGAAGTTCAAAGACTTGCCAATCCGGAGGATTTTCTGCGCAAAGTCTTGGGTTATGATCGAGGGCACCATTTCTTCCGCGAGCGTGTACTTGTCGTCCCAGACAGAAGTCGCGGTTCGCCGCGGGTCTACACTGGGTCTGGATTCCGGCTCGACCACAAAAAATTCTTTGTATGGATCCGACAGCTCACCGTCGTAAATCCATGACCGTAGCATGTCGTAGAAGGGTCGAGTCACATGGGCGAGAAGCTTTTCCGCGAAGTCACGTACGAAAGGATCACCATGAGAGGTCGAGAGGCCGTGGATCAACGAAATCAATTGGCCGCCCTTTTTGTCTACGAGCAAAAGGTCAGATTGATTTACCAACTGGAAGGAAGCCATAGTACTTACGCTGTGCCTCCTCGACAATCAAATTCATCAACCGTAGTGCCATCGTCGCGTCCCTTGTCCAGACGACGCATCGCTTTAGCGTGACACCGCTGGTGGCTGTGCTTCTAGGATTATTAGGGTCTGGTGGTGAAGCCAAGGCCCGTCGAATCTCTCCTTCCAAGGTAGCAACTAGACCCAGATAAGATTGAAGCTTGTTGGCAAGGGCTGCCTGGAGGCTTTGACTTAGAAGCCCACTTGTCGGACTCCCTACGAAAGCCGATACGCCGCGATACAACAGGCACGGCTCAGCAAGGGAGTTTAGCAGAGAGATTATGGGTACCGGTACAGAGGGAGGTAGATTCAAAATTGTCGAGGATTCGAATTGCAAATTCGAGGAAGACAATCCTTGCAGATTGAAAGGAAGGTCACGGAGAAGCCGCGGTTCCTGGGGTGTATCTGGTTTTGGTTGCTGTTCCGAGTCCGCGTCCGGCTGCACACCTTTTGGCTCTTCAAGAGGAGGATCTCGTACTCCCGTATTGGCACGACTACGCGTGGCCCGCACCTCCCGGGATCTTGCCGCTGGTGCAGAGGTCTCCGGCTCCAACTCCGGCGGCTCCCTCTCCGATCCCATCTCCTGCTGCCGTCTCAGCGCAGCTTGCCGCTCGATTCGCGCGGGGATCTGAGATGCCGAGGAGCTGGCAGCAGGCCCGTCCTCGTCTGAGATTTCCGATGCCCTGGGCCCGCGGCCCGGGTTTATCCTCTGGTTCTTGAACAGGGGACTTTGCAGGTGCACCGGCTCGAACTGAGGGCTTCGGTTTCCACCCTCGAACCCATGTTCTTCATCGTCATCCGTGCTCGAGAGTCGATAGAGGAGATAGAGGATCGCCCACTTTTGAGAGAGGACCGGCTGGGTCAATAGGCGGGAGTAGAGATTGGAAAATCGAACCGCTTGTTCGGGGCTGTCGTTCTCACGCAGAAGTTTCCGCTTGATGAGGTCCACCGCGTTGTTGACATTCTCGCCTCCGGCTAAGCTTCCGCGGCGATTGACGCCATACGTTGTGGGACCGGACGGTGAGGCTAGGTCACTCGAGGTGCTGGTGTAGGAATTGATGATGATCCACGAGCGCTCGAGGTATGCTTGGTGTCGTCTTTCTTCAGCTGCGGCCAAGGCCTCCTCCGCATCGCCTTCGTACTCGCCCCGGAGATCCGAATGCGACAACGGGGGCGTGAGGGAGTCGACGAGCTGCGAGAGCGCGTCATCGATGCGCCGTGGTCGTGCGGGTTGGCGGGCGGACATGGTTGGTGGTGTGGTCCGAGTCTGTCTGGTATGTGTCGTGGCTGTCTCTCTGATCTGTTATAGCCCGCAGGTATTAGAGCAATAGTTCAACAAACAATTCACTCGGAGATAGTTGGGGTATCGGCCTGAGGACGGACGCGGCGAGAGGTGGGGAGGTCTATGCTGCAAGGTTCCACTTCACTGGAATTTTGTCGAGCAACGCATGGCGACCTACACCAGTGCAGGCAGCCGCTTAATGAGATTATCGCATGAAATGCAGGAAAATTGGCGGTGTTGAGGAAAGCGCATTGAAAGGCCGCCTCGACCGCGTAGAAGGAACATCCCCGATGGGAGGGGGGGGGTCAGTGTGTTTGTGTTTGTCCGGTTTGAGTGGTTTGCCGTGTCCCGCCAAGCCCTCACTCACTGCCCGTCTTTACAGTAGTATTCAGTTGTCTATACTCATTCCTCGACTCACCATGCATCTGGGCCTCAAAAACGTCAGTAGATACGTTTTATGACATGCCACGAGAGCACATTCCTCGTACAGCTAGCCATACAGCTAGCCCTACACCTGACAGGTGGCTAGCAGAGCGACTACGAACTACACTACCAAAAAAGTACAGACTTAGGAGACAGATGGCTGTCTTGAGAATAGCCGGCGAAGAGAGAAGCAGGATTCAAGTCAATTCAAGTCAATTCATCCCAATGCGTGGTGGTCTGTTGATAAGTAGATGTCTCAAATAGAAATAGCATCCATGTCATTGATCCCTAGTAAGACACGCTAAAAAAGACAGCAATCCCAAACAACCCTAACGTTAACCCATGATGAAAAAAAGAAAAGCCCCCGGTAACCCCGAAGAAACCCCTTTTTAAAGCAGAGAAAAGGTGGAAGCAAATGAAAGAAAGAAAGAAGAAAAAATATAAGAATAAAACAGAAGCATGGGACACAAATAGCCAACAATACAGAGCTTAAAACGAAGCCGTGCTGGACTGGCACCGATATGGCATCTGCTCTCTGCAAGGTTTAAAGCGGTCCAAGAGCTAATCATAGAATGAAATCGATCGTGTACACGGCTCATTATCG